AACTTATATAATCATCGTCTAACTGCGATAACGCGAACCTACCGCATGCCGCTCTTTGATTACAGACATTTGTCAGCCCCTGTTCAACCAAACGCGTTCGTGTAATCTTTCACCGGCTACGATAACGAGCGAAATTTTGTGTGCCGTTGGATTTTATACTCGTGTTATCTGAACATCGTGGAAATTAAGCAAATAAAAAAGAAAGAAGAGAAAATAGGAACACATCTTCGATCTTCGTTACGTGTTTTCAGAACTGTTAACGAATATCCGACAACGCAGACGGAGCTTTGCAATATTAGGTCAAGAGAGAAAATGTCGAATCGTTTGATTCAATTGGACGAACGGTTGCCTGTATAGCGAAACTGGTAAGAATCCTGATTCAGCAATTCGATTGATTCGCAGAAAATTTCTTTTATTGCCGTTTCGGTTCATCTAACTCTTTGACAGGTCGCTCTAATTGCTACGATTTCGATTCGCCTGCATCGTATAAGCAAACACCATTTGCTTTAATAGCTTCCCAATGTGATTTGTTCGAAATTAGAGAGAAAGTTAAAAGGATCAAATCCTCGAGGCAAATTATCCCGCTTCTTACCGATATATCGATCGAAGAAATCGATGAATTCGTTTGATGTGTCATTTTGCAACCAGGAGATTTACTTTATCATCGTTCTGTCGCAATATATCTAACCGAATTCCAATACGATGCATGTATATATGTATTTCGTAAATCAAACGAGGTACATCGATCAATCATGAAACATCGAACAAATCATTATGGATTTTTATTTCAAAACGTGGAACTTTCCAAACAAGTAAACAAGTATAATGATACAGTTAGAAGATAAATATCTAACAGCAAATGCATTATCAAGATTAATATACTTATCACTCGATTAAAGAAATTGTAATTTCTTTTAATACACTTAAAATCTACTTAAATCAACGTTAATACCTCTTAAAACCGGATAAGAAAAAATAAAAATAAACTAAACGAGGTGAGTATTTTTGATATCAAATTAAAATTTGCAGGTGAAATGAAAGAAAGCGAGTGGTTTCCAGGTTATAAGAAAAAAAAAAGTGCGATTTCTGATAATTCTTCGACGAGCAGGAAGTAGAACGCCTGGAACGACGCGTACGATCGGGTCAGTACGTTGACCTTAGGGTTCACGTAGATGTGAACGATAGAAAAATGTTCGATAGTTATTATGCAACCGCCTGGTAACAAGGCTGTGCCCTTTTCGTCGATTACGAGTGTTGCTGGAACGGGACGTCCGTAACTTGTAACATACTCGTGTATTAATAAGAGACACGCATCGAGTACACGTGCGTGTTCTGGCCTCGCTCTGACCACGCGCCTCCCGCATGGTTCTCTAGCGATTCGCGTGCTACCAAGCCTAACGAGAGACCTTCGTTCCACCAGAGGAAAAGAGAGATGCGAAAACGGCGCGTGTATCGGGCACACCTAACGAATCCACGCGATTATTCGATCCAAAGAGGTGCGAACGTTTCTTTTCCCTTTTATTGATTCAAAGTGGAGGCCAGGATGGGCCTGGGTCCTTCGAAATGATAACTTCGAAGTGACTCATAGGTGCTACGCTGTTCTTTTCTGTTTCTCTTCCGACCCTAATTCAATAAACTTTTGTTATTAGCTCCAAAAGGGGAACCCGTTGCGCGAAATACGTTTCGATTGATCACGCGAGAAAACTGAACGAAGTATGACAATTAGAATTGCAATTATACGGAATAATTAACCGGTCACTATGATTTCGACAGCCGATGCGACGAAGAACTAATCTGTTAGTTCCGTATAAACGTTTAGGAAAGATAACGATAATAGAGAAGATGTTGAGGAAATGGTTTGTGGTTTCAGCGTTATCAGAAATTACCAGCCCAAGCTGTCTTTCCCACCGCTTCAGGTTAACGAGTATGAACGTTCTCGCGGAGCAACGGAGAAAGTAGATTCGGCATCGATAAAATACATATTTTCACCGGTTTTCGCGTTGCTCGTTTTCGTTTTGCGCATGAAAAGCTGATCGTTCATGCAAAGTTCACGTTTCACCTTCCTCAATTGCGTTTACTTCGCGCGGCTGTTGGCTGCGCGTTACATTTCGATCGATTTGCATATGGAAATGAAAGGAACAAAAACTCGTTTCACGCGGTGTATTACACTTTTTCTGCAATGATAATTGATCGTCATCGGTCGCGTTTGATAAAGAATCGGGAAAAACGGGGGCCCTGTGTATAAAGAACGCCTGTTATTCTCCTTTCGACTTTCCAATCGTTAGAACCATTCGATTATGCAACATTTCGCAATGGGAAAATCGAGAAATCTGGCATCGACGTGCCGATTATTACGAGGCTGCGTCAAGGCTCGCGTTTTCACGAGAGGAAAATGATCGTTAACGATCCCCGACCGGGTAGGACTACCGGCACTGAATTGGATAAAACGATCCGACCATGGGGAAGCAATTTCTTCATCTATCCGCTTCGATATCGATACGCTTCCTGCGTAAGATTTCGACAACCTAATCACCATTTCTTTCATCGATAATCGCGAATTAACTTCTAACAAACAGAAGCGTTCATTCATTATTTACTTCTAGAAAAGAAAAGAAAAGAAAAGAAAAGAAAAATGATCGGCTATCTGCGTTGATTAACACAGCAAAACAATGTCGACGAAACAAATCATCTATATACGTACGTAGAGTGTTTTTTTTTATTGAATCGCATCGGTATGACTTGCGCGAAACATGACTAATCGTGAAAACCATTATCATCGTTGGTCATCGACTAAACCGATTGTATTCATCAATAACAATGCACAGCGGGGAGAGAAAGAATTTCCTCCCTTGCGCAAAGTAACCCGTTGCAAAGGTTCGATAGCAGGAGTACGCAAACTCGTGCGATAGATCATTGTAAAATTCATTAGGTTCTGAGAGGTCGAATTCCGAAAGCGTTCATTAATTTTCAAGATAGTATTTTCTTACTCGTTTCTATCGTTTCTCAAGTACAAGAATAACACGAATATTATGTACATATGTATAACAAAATATATCTTAATTTGCTTACGATTTCAAAACGTCATTTGTGCAAACAACTCATGGACGTCTCGAGTTATGCAGACAAACTGAGGTTTGTCGTTTTTTAAAACATTGCAAATATATTCGACCTTACGATGTTTGATGCGAAGGAAGATATTCAAATGTTGGAAAGAAAGAAATTTTTCAAGAGTATAAGGAAAAATGTCTAAGGAATTATCTCATCGTTTACCATTGAAAATTTTTTAAATATACAAAATATTTGGTATTCCAGTAATTCGATTGCAATGCTAACTATAGAGAGGGGGAGGGGAGAGAATGGTATTAACGTGTGAAATATTTCTTATATGCAAAGCAACTCATACCCCTCGCTACGATATTTTTGTCATCGCCTCCTTCAGGAGTCCTTTTAATTCGAGATGCCAAAGAGTAGACGGCTATAATGTGTCTCTATGACTTTATCGTGTGCCACGTGTCGACGCACCTATATACACGCACACGAGATCGTTTCTATTGCGTCGGAGACGGGGCACGAGTTAACTTGTAGGAGTCACGGCGTAATAAATTCCTGGCCATACATTGACACCGCACGAGCGGACGAGCGGAAAATCGCGACAGAATTAAAATTCAGCTAGCCGCCTCGAGACGGCACGTTGCTAGATATAACTGTGCTTGCAATTTTCTCCTGTATCGATTCGAAGCTACGCGTGCAGCAGCGTGACAACGCTTCGCGATACGCGTTTACGGCTCCCGTTTGCCTCAAGCGAAAGGTGAACGATTCTCGGCCGAATGTAAATATTGTTATACGCTGTTCGATTCCGAGCGAATGACGCAGTTATTAAAGTCTAGTATTTACTACATTAAGAAGCGTCCCGATTCGGTCACGTACATATAACGACGTTTTTGTTCTCGAAGGAAACACAAGAGGCTGTTGAATAAACATAGCGTTACAAACTACGCAACGATCTTGACAGCTTACAAATGGCAACGGTTATTTTCGGCCGGCAATTTGTCATTTTTGTGAAACGTTTATAGCGTCAGTTTTCTACGTGATCAAAACATCGAAAGTTTCGCGCTGAATTCTTTTAATTTCCTTTCTGCGCGTGATGGCGTTACGATATATAAACAAACACGCCGCGTGCAAATTACGGCCCCACGCCAACGAGGCGAAATTTACATCATTCGATCCCTTTCGCAGCCGACTTCGCGTGAAGAGTCTCCACACGGAAGCAACAATGGCGGTGGATCACTTATACTTCTGCGCATGCGTGTTTTTACGGTGCATCGATGGCAGCACTGATGCTTGTTTTAAAAGCGAAATTTACACGAATATCTATTCTAATGACTCCTACTTTCTCAATCACTGATTCAAATACGATCAGCCATTACAAAAATGGCATATATATATTCCAAAAGAAACTTTAATACTCATAGTTCATGACTCTTATAACTACGCAGCTCACATGCACGTACTACTGATCCAACCAAATTATACTTAATATTAGTTAATTGTTACTTACATGACAGAAGTACGATGTACCAGCCCACGTGGACGCTGCAATTAGTCCATGGAAGCACAAAAGTAACCTCGATATCGTTCACGACCGGTTGGCACACGAGACGCGGGTTCGACAACAAACTTGACATTCGTATGTCAGATACGTACGAAAGTACCGATAATTTAGCAAAATTTATGCACACACGGGTTACAGGCACACTCCAATGTTATTACGTATACACGGGGAAGTTAGAAACGAACGTATTACGACGAATTATTCGAAACGAAAGACGCGATTGTTCAAACTGCCGCACGCGTCACCCACGCCATCTTCGTAATGACAAGATGGCGCGACGGTGCCGGGAGTAACAGCTGAGATGCGAGTGGAACATCTGCGCATGCGAAGCACACAGCGAGACGTTCTGTCCTCCGTGCTCGACTGGATCCGTACTCGGCAGTAAACAGCTGGCGACGCGATGCGTCAGAGCAAGATGTCGAACGGGACTGCGCCAAGCTAGTTGCCCCTCTACCTTCTCTCTCTGTGGCACGGTGCAAGAGCTTCGATAAAAGTGGACGTTCTCGGGCAAGCGTTCGGCGCATTCGCGTGTGTAAAATTCGGCAGCTAACGCGATAGGAAAAAAGAAAGGAGTGTCGGGAACGGTAGGTGAACAGAGGACACGGTAATATAAAGGCAGGCAAACGAGAAAATCCACGGCGAAAGTGGAGTTCCTTTGTTCCGTGCTCCGATCTCTGCGCATAGGTTCCCGTGCGAGTGGCGCAGCATTGTTTGTTGTGGTCGGTACGTCACTCTCGGCGTATACACGGCTCGTCGCGATATAAAACCAGATTCTGGCGTCCTGGTTGATCTTGCGTCCGATCATTTTTTTCCTAGAAACAATTTCAATTGTACGATCGTCGATCAGTGCCGTGGTCCGTCGCAATCGTGAACAGTGTACCGACGCGATTCGAAGCGAAAGGATCTCGCCTAGCCTTTCGTGTACGCGCGAGTGCTTTGTTTTGACGAGCAGCTGATCCGGGACTGCTCGTTTATCGGCGTTGGCCAATCCTCCATCGTTGCAACGGTGATTTTTCTTTCTTACAAATATTCAATAGTGCTTCGAATACGTTCGACTGGCTTGTTAAAAGAAACGCGTTTAAAGGGATCGTCGAGCCGTGGCAATAGAGGAGGCTCCGTTACATCACGAAAAAGCAAAAGGACGCGATCGACCGATGCTCACGGAAGCAACAGTGCGATCTACGGAACCAGACGAAGCAACGATCACAATCTAAAAGAAACATTTTCTTCGTTCTAACACGAAGGTGCGATTCGACGAGATTCGTTCGAGCATGTCGATTGTTTCTCGTTTCCAAGGGACTCTACGCTACCCCCGCTCGTGCCTCGTCCGAAAAATCACTCAGAGAACCGTCCTGTAAAATAACGACCGCTCGTTCAAGCGGATTTTACCTCGCTTGAGACCAAACTCGGCCTTTTCGACCGACGGGGACCGTACAATAGCTTCCCTCTTGAAAGGTTGTGCGGCTGACTCTTACAATTAGTTACCAATGATCTCGTGATACATACTTCTTTCCTCTTGCTTTTTAATTACGCTTTCAACGAATCCTCGAAGAAGTTGAAAGTCTTCTTCGGTACAAACTACACGCACCTGTGCATATATACACACACACACATATATACACGCTTATTTATCGTCCATTCTCGTTTCTCGGGGCATCGGATTCTCGTTCGCGGTGCTCATTTTTCCTCCGTTTTTGCGCGCTCGACATCCGAAGACGGAAACGTGCAACAAAACTGCTACTGTTGGAGAGTACGCGAGGCTGGCCAAAGCCGGTGATAATTTGCGTGAATCGACGACGAACGACGGTTTCGTGGCCGTGATCGATGCAGCATAAACCCGGGGGGGCCGTACTCGCCAGCTGTGGGAAACCAGGGGTACGGCCCCGATCGAGCTGACTACGGGAGTCAAGCTGACGTGACAGAGGCTGTGTTCTTCTTCTACTGTGGCAAGTACGGGGTGAACTCCACCGGATGCCAGTGGTGTTCCTCGATCGGCCTGGCCGTTTCCCTCTTGTCCACCGACTGGAAGAAGCTTGACCGGCACAAAAATGCTGTACATATTCCACGTGGACACCGGCACCACCATCACCTTCGACATCAAGTTGGCGCTGCAGACGTAAGTCTACCACTCGTCTTTATTTCTTTATCATTATTGTTTACTCTTGCAACAAGGTTATAAATCGATTCGATTCGATTCGATATAGTTTCCTGAGAGCTCGTTTGTTTATTTAGCGAACTTTCGGGTGGCGGACCATGGAGAGAGCCCCGATTTTAACCCTTTAACTGCGGGTACTTTTAGCACAGCCGAACGCTCTAATTTTAAATTATATTACCGAAGTGATATTCTATTTTAAAAGATTTTTTTTTATCGTATTTATTTTATTTTCTTTATTTTAAATAACAAAAATTAACATGTTCTTTTATATATCACACCCACGTCTGGATATAATTTTAGTATGCGGTTTATAAACCACACCCGCAATTGAAGGGTTAATTTAACTATGTAAGCTGGCTTTTCGATTGACCCAGACTAATTCTGTAGATGTAGAAAGGAAACGTTCCATAGATTATCATTTATATTTAAGAGGCATAAGAGACTACCCCGATAGGTATTCGTCTCGCATAATCGATCGCCGTGCACTTTCGCCTTTTGCTTCTTTATTTTATCCCCGTTTCCCTCGCGAGTCACTCGAAATCAACGGCTGTAATTACTGCAACTCGGTACTTGCTCGTTTTTATTTTTCGTTAGAACCTAAACCAATTTTAGCAGACGATTGCGCCGCTGAACAAAAACGATGGTACCCCCTCGTGTTTGGCCTGATAAACCTTCAACGAGGCTCCGTTTCAAATGTAGGACAACTTCGAATGTACGTCACGCGTATCGCACATTACGTTACGGAGATTTAATTATCCGAGCCTTCTTGTTCCCTGCTTAACTCTTCCACTGTGAACCGCTATCATGGGAAAAGTAAAAAAAAATATATATATATTTACGTTAGAAGGTGCACTCTCGAATAAACACTTCCCAGTGGTTAATTGATTTGAAACTCGATGAAAATTAATTAATCGAATCTCTCAGCTTTGGTAATTAGTATATTTTTTAAATACTCCTTGCTAATAATCTACTTAATTAAAGCTTCGATACGAGTGACAGTGAAAACATTCGCGAGATTTTCCTTGCTTCGTGGTACACACGAAATAACCCACCCGGCTGTTTGCTTCAGGCGTTCGTAGCTTCGGTTAAGGGTCTGCCTTAGATTCGAGTGAGAAAAACTTTTTAGACACGTTTGACACACTTCAACGAGTGCTTTTTCGTTCACAACTAATCCAACTCCGTACGTTTCCTAGTTTCCCCTCTGTCCGCATTATTTCTGACGTGATATAAAGGCCCGCTCGATATTACGCCCAGATTAGACTCCCTCGTTAAACTCGTACCGATAGTTATCGGGACCAACTCTAACTCGCTACGAAACTTACTTCCTTTCGCGTACGGACGACAAATGCATTCATTTTATTTCTTTTTTTCAGCGAAAATCGATTGGCATTTAAAGTTGAAACGCTGTGTAAACGCAATGCGAATTTGAATGGAAAAAGAAAAGCCAGCTTGAGCAAGAGTAGTATTGAAAGTGTAGGTCCTTGAGTTCTCGTACAGATAGTTCTTTAACCCTTTCACTTGAACGTTTCTGATAGCCGTAATTCTATTATTATCAGTATTTTAAGACCTTTCTGTGTCTTGCATCGCGAGTCGATATCTATTCGTCGTATTACACAATAGTTTGGTAAATCATACGCTCGATCGTTTTCCACCGTTTCGCTTGGATCGTTTCCCTCCGTATCGCGCGGATCAATCGGGTATTGTTCATCGATGGTCGTCGTTTGTCATTTAGCAACTGTTCGCGAGTATCGCGAACAACGACACGACGTGGAAGTGTCAAGGCTCAATCGAAGGTGAAGAAATTGCAACACTGTTGACGGACGAACGTGGGCACGCAACGTGCTCCCGTGAGCTTTCCTTCCTCGAACGAGGACAGACGACTGGGAAAGTGATAAATTAATTTTCTTTAATATTTCGTAATCTGTTAGGCTCGACAAGCTTTGAAATTTTAATAATGAAAATATCGAAACGTTTTTGGACGTGGGGTAATTCGATGACTGCGACTCGTAGCGCGTTTAATTTGAAATAAAAAAAAAATAAAGAAATAATGAGTCCAGAGAGAAAAGTGGAGTTGACCAGTTTACGGGCGTTTTCAGGTGAATTGCATCGGGTAAAACGGAGAAATTACATCGTCGATTGCTCCTGTCTCGTTCGCGCGAACCCGTTTCTCTTCGTTCAGATACAAAGAAACAGAACTTTTGTTGCGACCTGATATAACCTGGCCAATGTTGAACGGGAACGGTGTGCGTTAACGGTACAAGAATCGAGGAGGGAAAAGTTTGAACGAAATGAGGTTAACGCGAATTAGGAAAATAAAACTGTATAGGCGTATCAACGAGAATCGAGGAAACGCGGTTTTACGATGCCACGTTAAGTGTATATCCATTATTCGGATTAAAGCACGTTACGCTTCGCGTACCTTTGGATGAGTAAATCGAACCCGGGCATTTTATCTATCTTCTTTGGTGAAAAGAAAGTCAATCGAATCCCGGTCTCTCAAGATCGCCATTCAACTGGATGTACATTCCACTTGGCGATCTTTTATTTACGTGTTATTGCTTCACGCAAAACGAGGACTCTTAGAAATCGAGTTAATCGAGGGAAAATATTTCGATTTTAGATAGTCACAGAGGTGTGTTATATTTTGTGGAGGATTTTTCACGGTCCACAAGGAGAAAATAATATAGAAATTAGACAAATTATTGCGTGATCAACAAACGTTCCAAGTGTCCTAATATCCATCAGTTGATTATTAATTAATTTAATCTTAAGGTTAAATTTGCATTTATTTGCAACACATTGTTACGTGACGTGCTAATGAACGGTTAAAATGCTCTGAATTGCAAATGCATCGATTGTGAATCTCACCATTCGTATGACTATCTGTTCTCACAACATTTTCCAACGGCTTCCTTCCATTTTCCCTGGAAAATTAACCAGTCGACGATTTGACGAGTCGTTCTTTTTTATCGTCTCGCATCATTGAAGCTGGCATAACGCGATTACGTCCGAGGCGTTCTACGAAAGAGCCTCGACCAAGCCCTTCTAAGCATCGGAGGAAGAATTTTACACGATCCCAGAAGGCGTAGAAAAGGCGGCCTCCTCGCGGATACCTTCAATATTTGTGCATTAAGATAGCGGCTGGCGGTCAACGACCCCGTTCGTCGAGGCAATTAACGATGTGTGTCGATCCATGGTGGCGCCTTCGCCTCGTTGCTTTTATTCTCGTGGCCGCGCGTAATTACAAAGCGTGTACCATCGTCAAAGCTCGAAACAACAAACACACCGTCGAGTAATTACCGATTTAGGCCCGATTTACGTACAGACCACTGACTTCCATTGACAAACAAGAAAACAAATTAAATTTTCATCAACTCATTCGGTGTTAAATATTTTTTTAAGATGTTTCATAAAATCCTAAACGCGATACCGATCTCGCGAATAAAGTCTCTTGTTGCCTGTCGTCCCTCGAAGCGACATCAGCGGAGAGCTTCTTTTTCGTAATTAATACGCGATGCTCCTCACGTTGTCCTCGTGTCGGACAAAGAGTTCTCCTTATCCGTTATTTAACCTTGCCGAGGGTGTTGATGACGTCTCGCTCGAACCGTTCCAGTTCCTTTTACGTGCAATTTATGGCCACCGTGTGTCCGTGGCGAGGCTAAGAAGAGCTTGAGGACGCATCGGAAGAGAGAGGTGTCCAATGAAATCCGCGTGAACTGCCCTTGCACCGATCGCGATTGCAATTCCCAACTGGCATGCAACTCCTCGTCGTAAATAAAGTCGTAACGCGAACGTTCCAGCCCCGATGCATCGAATTTTCCCGTACAAACTGGTCCAGCGATACTTCTTTCCCGTCTACCGGGAAATCGGGTCGCGATTTTGTGTTTTCCGGCCACCGAAACACGGTGTTCCCTCTTGTTAAATCCTTGTTCAGCTACGTAGAAGACTCACAAGTTTCCCCAATTACTTGCAGACTTTTGTTGGCCGTTCTTAAGAACAGAGCCGACTGATACGGCTACAGATAATCTTGACCTTAATCACGGAATCGTCGACGCTGAAGCTGTATAACTGTTACGGTTTATTGTAGAATTGATCGTCTGCTAGGATCTCTTTTTAAATTGCTCCTTCGAATGGAACGTCTTCCTCTTCACAGACGATTCTTCCATTTAGCGATTAATATTAAGGGATCGTTTCCAATCCTGTGATTCTTAGAACGAAGTTACGTGATTGAAAACTACCATTTTATTTAAATAAAGTTGACGTGTTGTTTTTATCATTATCAGTGAGCCTTGCTCTACCTCGAGTTTGTCACACCTTGAAACTGCGATAAATACTCAATTAGTGGTGATAGAATTAATGCAACTGATTAGTTGCTTCAACTTTAATTTACATAAAACTTTTAGTATGCGTTTCTTTTTATTAATATTTTCTTGTTTTTCTCTTTTTTGTGCAGTGTCGCTCAGCTGAAGGAAGCGATCGAGAGGGAATGCGGTGTGGTAGCGGCTCACCAGGTGCTGCTGATGAGCGGAGGCGAAAGTCTGGAACCAGACGCTCGTGTGTGCTCTTACTCTGCTGGAACCGATACGAATCCGATCTATTTGTTCAGCAAGGCCGCCATTGAGAGCCACCTTCCACCCACGCCAAGCATAGACTACGGTTCCGGTGAGCGACGAACGTTTTCCACCTGTAAATTTCCTTACCTTTTCACGCTCTACTGAACCTCTCTCCATTTCCTGCCACTTAGCATCTCTTACATTTTATTTTATCATCGTCGTCGTCGTCGCCGTCGCGTATCTTCATAAATTTTACTCCTTATCCATATGGATCTTCGATGGAAGATCTTTTTTTTTTCTTCTTCTTCTTTTCATACATCGCGCATGCGAAATTTTACGACCTCCAGCCTCGAGTTTCTGCATATTTTATTTATTTAAACGCTCGATGTATCATCGGACGAACGCGTTACGTGCGTGATTGAACGGGTGTCTCGCGAAGAAACGTTGTCGACGAGATTGCACGTTCTCGGCTTCGTTAACCGAGAATCGTGCCGGAAGGACACGGCTAATAACGATGCTTATCGCCGGCCACTCGGGAGTGCAAAGAGAAGAAAAAAAAAAAACAGAAGCGAGATGATATCAGCGGAAAGATAGCGATACTCGTGTGACAGTACTAGACTAGAAGGTTGCCTTTGCGCTCGTGGTACCGTAAGCGGACGTAATTTTCACTGTGGATACGAAAATCGGTTTTCTTTTTCTTTCTTACATTTCGTTCACTCGCAAAACGAAAGGGTTCCCTTGTTTGGAAACATTTTACCGAACTGGAAATCAAAGATTCGAGGATCGTTCGAAAGGTAGTCTACCTGCTGTCGACCCTAAAAATTTCTTTGTCCAAAACGAGTTTTCCCTGCTGTTTAGATCAAACGATCTTTCTTCTTTTCCTTTTGCTAATAACTTGTTGGCAAGTCCTTTGTTCGCACGATTTTTGCTCGATTGTCTCTCGACGCTCGAACAACGGGTCACGTGTTCATATACGACTTTGAAATGTGCTAGAAACGATTAATCGTTATCAATATTTACGACGAAATTGTTAAAAAATTTGACATCTAGTCATATGAAATGCTAATCTACAGGAATATTTCGATGTAATCAATATGTTTCTCCTGTTATGATCAAAGTATTTATTTCAAACGTAAACAATTTTGATCAATCATTTCGTACTTAAAGTCTTTGAAAAATTTGGTTATATATCAGGGATTTTGGGAGAAAATTCTTCAAAGGGAATTCGGTATGTTAAAAGTCGGGCGGGTTTGAAGCGACGGGAAATCGATTCGAGCGCAGAGAAGAGAGCTTCTTTCCTATTCGCTCCTTTTATCCTGCACTCGGTTGCATCGAGTTTCACGCGGTAATTCACGTTTCTCGAGGTAACGCGACCACAGGCCACTGGTAACCCGTTGCGATGCACCTCGACCGTTTCCACCGGCTGCCGATGAAGTAACGATCAAGTTCGCTCTTATCGCGTTGCACTTTCGATCTTCCCGGTGAAACAAACCGCTCGATCCGCGATCCGGGGCATTCTCGATTTCCTTCGACGCTTACGCTTTGCATTTACGATACTTCCGGCTGGATCGATCACTCGATAAATCGATATTTCATATTAATGTTGCGTATTTCTTTAACGAAACCGCTTTCTTAGGCGTATCGCGTATGTAAATCGGGAGGAAACGATTTCTTGTTTCTTTTTTTTTTTCTTCGGCCACGGTTCAGATAATCGAACGACGTTGCTAATCTCGTAACGGTTCGTTTCTTATCGAGCTTTTTCTTGTTCTGTCGTGTCGAAAAAGAGACGGTGACGAGCAACGAAGCGCGTCCACTCGTTACTCGAACCATAGACGCAACAAGACTTTGACCCGCCTGAACGAGCCTCGTGACTAACTTTGGCACCGTTCTTTAATCCGACTGATAACGATCTGCTTCTTGCTAGTCAGAGAAGCTTTCAATTGATGCCGATTCGTAGCCGAAACTGGGCCAACTTGGCTGTTGCCTCATTTTCCACGCGAGATTCATCGACGCGTTCTACGTGCAGCTAGAGAAGGAAAGCGACGAAACAAGCTCCGATTATTGATAAGCGTCAGATCGATCTTGCATTATCAGCTTTCGATACAGGTGAAACTGAACCTGTTTATTAGCACGTTTTCACAGCAAAAAGGAGAGAGATTTAATCGACACGTTGCGTAACGTTCTTGGTAGGAAGTTTTGAAACGAAAGATAATTAAAGTGGTGAACGTAATGATCTTTGGTTGCAACGAATAACTGGGTCAGCTTCGTGTGTATGTATTTACGAACAATCTTGATGGACGTACTAATCAAAATTTAATAGGAAAGTTATTAGATTCTTAAAAGACAGTCTTAAGAGGTCGACGGAGGATCCGTACGGTGCGTCGCCGACTATTCTGACGAACGGTGGTATTTAGAATAGAGGATAACGCGTCGACAGATACATATTCAAATTTCCCACCATTTAATTTAGTAGCGCAGTAATTTGGAGTTTATTTTGCATTGAAATATGAGTAGAACATTAATAGTGACAGAAATACGCTACCTGTGTTCGCTAAAATTCGAAACCTGCCAGGTCTTTGGTTACGTCAGATTTATTGTAGGCAGAATGATGTAAGTGTGTGTGAAACAATGATATAATCGCGAGAGAACGTAATACAGAGAAATCATTGCGTTTGACAAGTCGTGGAAATAAAGATACCCGCGACGTTCTTCTTTGGTTTTTTTTTTTTTTTTTTTTTTTTTCTTTCTGATATCATTTCCCGGTCGAAGCTGGTAGCATTTTCCACGACGATTATTGCGTTTCGATTGAATCCTATTAACCGTGAAAGAACTTCCAGGAATCTTTAAAACGTGCGCTCTTTAATTATCCTCGTACAACTCTCGATTGACAGAGCGAAACCTCGTTACGCAACTCGTAGCCGCCAATTCGCGATCGGTCAGAAAGCCAGATGTAACAATACGTTTCATAAAACTGTACGTTAATTCGATTTAACGACACCGGTTGAAGGTCAATTATCCCTAAAAGTGAAATTAACCTTTTGTACTCTATAAAATGTGTACAACGTTTCGATATGAAAATATTAGTTCAAACTTCCTATGTAGTATATTTACCTTGAAACTTCGTAACGTTTCCTTTTTTGAAAATAAGAATTTCCGGGGAAATTTGCAAAAGAGAAAAGAAATTTAATCGCTGTAAACTAGTTTATAGCCATTTTCTCCAGATTATTACGATATAAAATAATAATAAAAAGTTTAATTGTGTAACGATTTTATACACATTGCTCTTTCACCGATTCATGACAATTTTCTCAGCTGCGAATCGTATTCCGAGATCATGCGAGGTTCCACTTTGTTTATCCTTGACGTTCAATTACGTGGTCGCACCTGTTACATTGGCAAGTAGCAAAAGAGAAGCGTATGCCGACGAATGTAACCGTCGTATAGTTTTGCTGCTTTGCTGACACATCATTCGCGTATCGTATCGTCAGCTGACTGGAAAACGTCACGTAAGTGGCTTCGACTATCGATAGAACGTGAGACGGCCGGGTCATCGAGTAAGTACTTGAACACATGTGGATCGTGACACAACTGGTTGGTCGCACGAGAGACCGCCTCCTTCTTCGGCTTCGTTTCAATTCGAACACGTTTGCTGCACGTGCTGCTCCGCGCTCTTTGTAAATTGCTCTTTTTACTCCTTCCACGTTTTCTTCCGTTCAATTATTTTCCAGTAAATTACTTTCAATATCATTTTTAAAAATCATTTCAGTTAACTAATCTTATACCCCGAGAAAGCATTGCAACAGATGTTCAAACTTGACGGCCGGATCAGTCAGCGTATGCAAAACTGATCCTGTGTAAATACTAATTTTCATATTCGAGATTGTTTGAGGATCGCGTTATCGCGTGTCGTTGAACTCCTCTGCACAAATAGCACCGTGTAATCTTCCCGAAAGACATTCGTGACTTTGAAATGTCACGATATTCATCTTGTGGACACGAAGTAAACACTTGAAATCCGAAATAAGAAAATCAAGGAATATCAATTTCAGTTTGGTACTTCTTAGTTATTTTTACAAGTTATTTATTTTAGCGAGCAATGTCGAGAGGCTTCCCATCGGATTCAATTGGCTCCGAGTTGGTCAGCTGATTCCGCGTCCAGGCACTCGGTGCCTGCGAAATTGGATTTCTTCGTGGAACGTGGGTTCGCTAAGACCCAGCTTTCTTTTCCCATATTTTTCTTTTATCTTTCTGTCTCTGAATTTGTCAAACACTCGACCCAGTTTCTCTTTCGCTCGCAGATGGTGTTAATTCGCGAACATACTGACAGCTTTTCGTTATAATCCGCGCTATCGATACGTGAGCTCTTCGGATCTTTTCGGAGCAAATATATTTACTTTTTTCGTAAACATTCGGTACGAGAGCATCCTCACGAATGCCGATATTATTTACCGTGTTATTCGCCAGTATCACGTAACGTTTCACGGAACGAGGCTTCGTATCTACTCGTAAAAGTCCCGATAAAAAGAATCGCTCACGAGCCGCGGCATTTTAATAAATCTCGCGGTTCAACGAACCGCCATACGTATTTTCTTATCGGAATTCTCGTTCCTCGCTCGATCGCTGGTGAATAGCAGAAATAACGCGGGTAAGGAGAGCGGGCTATACAAGCTCTTCTCTTCTTCGTATTTCGAATAACATAATAGCCAACGTCGGAAGGATGCTTGATCGGAAAAGTGCATCCAGTGTAATCGGAGCCTAATGGAAGTAGCATTCTTCCGATTTTTCCATTCCCTAAGAGTACATTTGCTCGCGTGGCAGGAGAACGCGTGACGAGGAATGACTGGGCTTTAAATTCAGAGCAGACAAGCTGGCACCGGTAGACTCCGTTCTCCGTCCGCTGCACGTGTTTCGAGCGGATATCCTTGTGTGCGGGCACGTGTAACTGCACCTTATTTTCGTCACTCGTAAAAATCCAAGCGAACCTTTAAGTCGACCGAACTTTTTACTCACCAAATGGGAAATCGTTCGGAAAAACAGGGTACTCATTGGAATTTATTTATAGTTAAGTCGGTCGGAAAATGTTTCCACCGTAATGGTCGGTTATCTCGC